CAGTGGACCGATTACGCCCATCTCCGAACACATCCCCCCTTTTTTTTGCCAAGAATCGTGCACCAAGTCTTATTACGATATCTCAAATTTTACTCAAGTTACAACTTGCACAGACGGACGGGCAGAGAGTCATCCGAATTTCAACACATCTCTTTATCCTGATCATATACAATATATAAATATATTACTTGTATATTATGTAATATATAACCCTATATCTATCTCGATTAGTGTTTGGTGATACAAACAACCGTTAAGTGAACAACTCTATTATACTCTGTAGCAACATGTTACAAAAGTATAAACATCGTACGTCATTTTAACTAAAATTAAGAAACAAAGAGTTTTACTATACAACTATCAATTTAAATATAAATAACTAGAATCAATCAAGTAAGCCTTATACCAGGAAATAAGCCTTCAACTAGGAAATAAGAAAGATACATAATTTAAACGTTCAAAAATAATTATATTTAGATCTTTTTGTAATGTTGTGGTTAGAAATGAATTATTAACATTTGTATTTAAAAATGTTCAAATTACTCACAAATAGTACAACGCTGATATTAACTCATGTATGAAATAAAAATAAAATAAATTGCTATAGAAAGCTTAAATCGTATATATATATATTTCTTTTATAAGTTAAAATCAAATTTTTTTATTTATCTGTTTAACTGATTATCGTAAGTAACAATACAATTTTTTAATTTACGGTTCAAAGGAATTTATTTAGACATAGACCATCTCCAACGCTGAAAGCCGTCTTTTCTTTGTCTTCTTCGTTTACCTCCACATGCCAATAACCACTTTTTAAAACAAGTTTTGAAAACCATTTTTTTGCCTGATAACGAGTCAAGTGTGTCATCGATTCTAGGTAGGGGATAACTGTCTTTCTTCGTTACATCATTCAACCTTCTATAGTCCACACAAAATCTCATGTTGCCATCTTTCTTCTTCACAAGTACTACAGGTGAGCTCCACGGACTCTCTGATGGTTCGATTACGCCGCTTTCGCTCATTTCATGTATGGTCTGACTTACAACTTCACGTTTTGCTAAACGAATGCTCCGAGGAGCCCTGCGGATTGGTCTTCCATCACCTGTGTTAATAAAATGTTTCACAACTTTGGTTATTCCTGGTTTGGCATCGTCTTTATCAAATATGGATAATATCTGAGAAGAAGTTGTTTAGCTGTAGTTTGATAGTTTGCCTCTAGTTCCGGTCCATGCATTAATTTCGCTCGATATATCGTTTTCGTCCAGGGAATCTTCCTCAAGACCTATTTCGCAATTTATCACGGCCTCAATCTCTTGACACTCCCCTAATACAGCTTCTTTGGAAAGTTTGATTGGTAACTTGCACTCTCACACTATCTTGTCTTATCATAGCCAGGGTTTTGCCTATAAGTAAGTTTGGTGTAGATTCTTTTGTAGCCTCAACAATCCACCATTTGTTTAACCCATAGTCTCCATCTATTTCTGCCCAAATAACTGCTTCTGATGTTGGTGGAATCTGCTGGCTCTCTGTTGTTATCACTTGTCTAACGTTGTACTTATTATCGTAACCGAACATAAGTAGCACTTTCATATTTCTATAGGACATAATCCTGTTTTTCATGTCAATTTTGATTCCTTGATTCGTTAGAAAGTATACTCCAACTATGACTTCGTCAACGATATCTGCCACTATAAAATTGTGTAACACGGCTGCCTTTCCAATTACGATCTCGCACGTTACTTTTCCGAGAACTAGGGTATCTTCTCCAGTTGCAGTACGCAACTTTGCCCCAGCTAACGGTCTCACTTCTTTCTCAACCAGATCAGATCGAATTATGGAATGTGATGCGCCCGTATCCACAGTCACAGTAACGGTAACGTTACTCGTATTCCGGCTTATTTGTGAAATGGAGATTACAGGGCATTTGCTTGCGGGAGCCAGCCCGTGCCCTTTTCGGCTGGCTTGCTTTAGTTTTAACGATTGGTTTGATTTACCATTTGCTTGATCTTCCTCAGCTTTCCGTTTACGTCCAACTGGATTATTGGGCTGGTTACAGTTGCGCGCAATATGGCCACTTTTTCCGCAGTTGAAGCAGTTAAGCACACCATCATTTTTCTTATGCGCTTCCGTAGATTTTTCCAGTGCTTTCTGCATGTTGTCAATTTTTTTAAGTAATTGGTTCACCCGAGTGTGTTCCTCTATATCTACTTTGTGAGCTTTAAATGTTTGATTGCAAAGCAGAGATGCAGTTTCCTGTATCAGAGCATACGAAACGGTTTCTGTAAACGTCAATTTTGGACATGCTAATGCAGCGAATCGTTTAGTGTTATCTCGTATTCCATTGACGAAAGTCTGAATTTTCGTGTCCTCGATGTATTCCACAGATTTATGTGCATAAGCTAAGTGAGCTAACCTCTCAATCTCTGTAGAAAACTCCTGCAGAGACTCATTGGCTTTCTGGCGACGATTTCGCGACTCGATTTGAAAGATCTGCTTCCTGTGCTCACTACCATACCGTCTTTCTAATGCACCCATCAACGTTTCATAACTACTCGCCTCGCAGTTTGGAATGGTCTGTAATATCTCCGCTGCATATCCTTTTAATGCAACGAACAATGCAGCTACTTTATCTTCAGCGTTCCAATTATTTGAAGATGCCGTCTTTTCGAATTGAAGCTTAAAAACGTAGAACGGAACAGTGCCATCAAAGGATGGAGGTTTTACCTTGCCAGAAGCTGTTGACACAATTGGCCGATTTAATTGTAGCTCACGGAGACGATCTTTCAATTATTTTACTTCAGTTTTAATTCTATCCCGCTCTTCCGAAATCTGTGAGGACGCTTCTGCTATTTGTGAGGTCACCTGTGCTGATATACGTGCATCTTGCGCTGCAAACTGCTCTTCCAACTGTGTGGATACCTGTGCTGATATACGTGCATTTTGCGCTGCGAACTGCTCTTCCAACTGCGTTTTTAACGAGGACACCTCTGTTATTTATTGGGTTATACGTGCAACCTGCTCTTTAAATTGTGACGATATTTCTGTTGATATTTGCGTTGACATTTGAGACATACGTGTATCCTACTCTTTAAATTGTGTCGACATTTGCGTTGACATCTCTTTCCCCATCTGCGATATTGCAGCAAAAATCATGTTTATGTCCACAATCTTTGACGAGCATTTAACCTCTTCCTTTTCTTCTATCTTTGTTGTCTCTTTCACTCATTTTAATTATATTCAACGACGACAAGCGACAGGCAGCATCTGTCAAATATTAACATAAGTATTTGCTAGAGTTTTGAATTATTTTACATTTCACATATTAGCGGTAACACTACAGCTGCCAGTTGTTGTAGGCAAAATTAGAAATGCTTTTAATACAGCGACTGCGACAATCTGCACGCCTGCTGTCGTAAAGTCGTGCTGTTGTCTAAAAAAAAATTATATCTCACTAAATACTAATTTTAATTTATGTCATTGCCATATGTTTCAATTAAGGGTGTATGAATATGAATCTTGCGTTTGTTAATTAATACTTTTTGGTTTTTCTTTCATTGTGAAGTACAATTGATACAATTAAGTTCTGAATATGGCATCATTTAAATGGCCTCCACGACTTCTTTTGCCGGAACGAATTCGATGAACCCAATTTTCAAGTACTTTTTCCACTAAATCAAGTCGCATGTCATGAATATCACATTTTATATTGACTTCTAAAGCTTGAAGAGAATTTGGTTTATTGCTAAATACCAATGAGTTTAAATAACCTCACAAGAAGTACAATAGTATAGTGGTGTTAAATCACAACTTCTTGGAGGACATTAAATGTCCTGATTTCTTGAAATTATCTAATCTCCAAACATTTCTCCCAATAATTGGGTTGTGGCACGTGCTGTGTGGCACGTAGCCCCGCTTTGTTGGAACCAGATGTTGTCAAGATCAATTTCTTCCAATTGCGGCCAAAAAAAGTTGGTCATTATCGATCTATACCGCTCCCCATTGACAGTTACGGTGCCACCAGCTTCATTTTGAGAAAGAAAAAAAAATACAGATGATAACATATTAAACGACACAAAGAAATCATACTATTCCTATTGGAAAACCTGATATCAATAAGTCGGGACGGCGGAAACACAATTCCTAGCTACAAAAAATTACACCCACGAATTATTCCCATTACAAATAATCGCAAAGGTCAATTCAGCAGAGCTGCATAATGGCACAAACAGTCGCCGACGTAAAAAAGTGACCCGAATTATCTGATACGACCTATCTTGTGAGAGCTTTATGTAAATGAACAGTCACCACCGCTCTTACCTCTCGCTACAACAAACCGTTCAGTAGGATATCCGCGAAAATTGGATTTTTTTTCAGTAGAAACGAGTGAGCTGAGAGTGAAAGAGCAATAAAAAAATATAATATAAAATAAACTTGAATATATTCAAAATATTCTTAAACTATCTCAAAATTATATAATTATATAGTCAAATACATTAATTATAAATAGGTAAACAATTTTTATTAGTTGAATTTTAGTTTTGAGCTTTTAGATTATGAAAAATTATAACTAAAAAACTAAATGTGTAAAAAATCGTGTACACTAACTAATAAAACAATTACAACATTTGTAAAATTAAATCAAAAGAGAAAAGCTGATTTCTGCGTTGCAACTACGGGCATAACTTTTGACAAATTTGGTTTGATACGGGCGGTAAGTACGGAAGGGAGGAATGTCTGTGACTGTTTGTGCCATAAGCCTCCCTTCGGTATATGCTTTGTTCAGCATACAGGCAGCCTCTTATGCTACAACTTGTTTAAAGTAGTTGAGAATTAGTATGTATGCATGTATGTGATGCTTCACATACACCCTAACCACAGCGTATTAAACGTTTAGCGCAAACCGTTAGAAGTTTCACTTCAAAAATATATAATAATTATGAATAAATTAATTTTTATTTTATATTCTTTACATGGGAAATTTCCGTTCATGTTATCAACAGAATATTTGCTCCACGTTGTTGTGTATGTATGGAACCAATTATGCCGAAACCTGGTGAAGAAGAAACTGTCCGTGTAGTGGCTTTGGATCGCAGTTTTCATTTTGAGTGTTATAAATGTGAAGTAAGTCATTATTATTATACATGTAGATATATACGTATAGATATTAATATACGACATCATTATATGTTTCTATTTTAGGATTGTGGCTTACTATTATCTTCTGAAGCAGAAGGTCGAGGTTGCTACCCTTTAGATCAGCATGTACTTTGTAAAAGTTGTAATGCTAAACGTGTACAAATGCTATCGCAGAGGATATAAACTGAATAACTACCTTACTAAATGTAATAAAAAAGAACACAATATTTTGCTATACTATATGCAACATGGTTTTTACACAAATTACTTGGTAGTTGTGTAAATATTGGGTTGGCAACTAAGTAATTGCGGATTTCACTCATAGATGGCTTCAGTTGAATTTTTGGGTTTGCTGGCGTAGTCCAAATGTAAAACACATTTTGTTATTTGATAGTTGGAAATTCAGCTGCCAATCAGTGAAAAAAAATTTTTTGATCAGTTGCGTAGTTTTCTTTTGGCGTTCGTTGAAAAATGGAAGATCAAAAGGAATATTTTCGTCATATTTTGCTTTTTTATTTAACAGCTGTGATTTGCTAAAAAAACGTACTGAAAATTATCCATGGAGCAGGCCAGGTGAACCAGCTCAAGCAACATCAATGCTGGTATTCATAAAAAGAAGGTTTTGTTATCAGTGTGGTGTGATTATATAGGAATTGTCTACTTTGAACTCTTACCACCCAACCCAACGATCAATTCTGTTGTCTACATTGAACAACTAACGAAATTAATCAATGCAGTTTAAGAAAAGCAAGGCCACACACATCTTTGGTTACTCGGCAAAAATTATTGGAGCTTGGTTGGGATGTTTTGCCACATCCACCATATATTCCTGACCTCGCACCATCGGATTACTTTTTGTTTCGATCTTTACAAAACTCCTTGAATGGTAAAACTTTCAATAATGATGATGATGTCAAATCGTACCTGATTCAGTTTTTTGCTAATAAAAACCAGAAGTTTTATGAACGTGGGATTATGATGGTGCCTGAAAGATGGCGAAAGGTCATTGATCAAAATGGGCAATACATTACAGAATAAAGTTATTTAGTTCCATGAAAAAATTGTCTTTGATTTAAAAAAAAAATTACTTAGTTGCCAACCCAATATGTTATATATCCAATCAGTTAGGAAAGTCAGTCTATTTAATTGTGCTTAGGAAACTTATTTCGCAATTAGTGACAAGTTTCGAAACTTCAATTCAAAATCTAATTAACTTCTTATTGCAGTATATTTTATCATATAATATTAATTGATATTCAATGATTTGTGGTATATTACCGATACTACACAAATTTGAAAAGCCTTAACAATATATAATGGATTATGGCTTCCACTACCATAGACCGGTAGAAATGTTTGTATCGTAAGAGATTTGCTAACTTCCGTAGAAACCTTATGAACACCGAATAGGATGTGTTGCTTTTGACCTGATGTTACAGAGTTTATTGTTACGGACGAATAAAACATAAAAAAATAAGGTTAGAAACCAACCTGACTTACGCCGGTCTGAACTCAGATCATGTAAGAATTTAAAGTCGAACAGACTTAACATTTAAGGGGCTACTATTATTATTTAGGTGCCGTGAGAGTTCACTATCGCCTAAAAACATCAACGAGTTAAAATGGCTATATGATTTGACGAAAATCCATCGACAGTTATGAGTGTTGACTCTATTCTATTAAGCGAGTCCAACTCGTCCAAAGTCAGTTAACAAAGATATATCGTCTATATATTAGAGTATGTTATATCGACGAAATCAGGTAAAGGAGTCCATTAGAAGAAAAATAAGGTGTTGTGATAGTAAAAGGGTTGAGTTATAAATTACAAAAAGTGCGATAACTCATTAAATAAATATTTTCACACTCGATATGGCAATACTATGGGTGTGTTGGAGCTGCGTAATAATTACAGCAGTACAGCAACTTTGTTGCAAATCTGACACTTCGATGCTGATACTGTGCTGTTGTGCTGCCTGTTTTCCATTTTGCTTATATGCTTTAGAAATTCATTTAATTATCGATGAAATGGAAATAATTGAAGAACATTTTTTTGTTAAATATTGAAAAAAGAGAATCGCCTGATAAAAAGGAAACATTTTATTGTCATCAATTTTGAAAAAAAGCCGCAAGATTTTGGACCACGTAAAAAAAGCAATCTTCTCTTATGATCGTAAAGGAACTTTTTCCATAACTATGCAGGTAAAAAAATGTGTAAGTATACCTTATTATAATATAAAAGTTTAGATTTATTTTTCTGCCTAGGCTATTTGCAATAGCATCCTACGATTTTGAGACATTTTCATTGGCTTTCCTGGAAGCCGTCACGATGCTAACGTCTGGCAAATTAGTCCGATTTACAAAAAGATTACCATAGGAGAAATTCAGCTTGCGACCAGGACTGCAATATTAGCAGATTTAGATTATCCGATATTGAAATATTTGATGGTCTCGTTTACACTTCGTTGCTGATACTCTGCTGATGTGCAAAAAAAATTTTGTGTTGCTGATTTTTTTACAAATTGCGCGCAAAAAGTAATAGGAGAACGAGATTCTGTGGAAATTGTTAGCAAAAATTCACGCAGAATGTGATATTGTTACAAATTTACCACACTGCCGCCATGATTGCCAAGTCGAACGTGTGCCCTGTGTCGTGATGCCAAAATGGTAAAATCGGCTCGATACTAAATATCTCTACCCAACTTTGTACCGTATATATCGGTTAATACTTGTATTTATATAAGATATTACAGCTTAAGATGTGAAAGTACAATATTGAATGTAATGAAGTCTGTTTTTTATTATTTATGTTTTTTTTTTTACAATCAGTCGTGTCACAATAAACAAATGCAAAATCTGCAGATTGGCACTGATGCTGATCTGATATGCTTCAAACTATAAAACACAATTCGCTTAGTTTGGCAGCAAATCTTGACATCTAAATGGTAAGTCTTGGAGTTGCACCTTTGCAGTCGGCGATTCTCTTCACGGTCGTCCAGAAGGTTGGTGACGTGTATGTTGGGGTGGCAGCTTTGACATACTTGTATTTATTTTAAGGTCTTTGTGTAAGTTAATATTTTTGATATACACGGAGTTTTTACGATCAACCTGAAAGTTTTTACTGATATTTCATCGTTCAATTTCTCATGTTTACGACTAAGTTTAAATTTAGAACCCAGTGCATATTTCTGGCCTTGATTTTAAGTAGATCTCGTTTGGTTTTTATGTGTTGTTACCAAATCAGTCTTCCGTTTAAGTGCACCCCAAGGTACTTAGCAGTTATATTTATTTCATTTATTATTGGCATATCCGCAGTGGAAATTGTATATAGTATTGGGACAAGCACGCTTTCTTGCGAAAAACTAGCTTTGACTTCATATTATATAAACAACTATTTATTAACTATTGATCTACATCATCCTACAAAAGACGTTGAAGTGCTTAAAATAAAGTTCCTTACTATAAAAGGATTAGCAAAATGAATAATAAAAGAGCTATTGTAGAAGAATTACATAAACAAGCTAGAAAAAGTTTTAAACGAAGACGTGTTATTATAAAAGGAATCGATTATTTATGGCAAGCTGACTTGGTGGTAATGCCTCAGTATTCAAATAGTTATAATCAATATCAATATCTTTTAACTGTAATCGATACATTTTCCAAAAAAGCTTGGGTCGAAGCAGTTAAAAATAAAACTAAAGAAAGCGTAACAAATGCAATGGCTAAGATTTTAAACTCAAGTAACCGAATACCGAAAAACCTACAAACAGACGATGGAAAGGAATTTCAAGAGATTATTACAAACAAAATATATTAACCATTATTCAACATTTTCATCTTTAAAAGCATCTATAATAGATCGATTCAAAAGAACATTAAGAAAAATGTTGTGGAAAGAGTTTAGTTTTCGGGGAACTTATAAATGGATTTACATCTATGAAAATTTAGTCAATGATTATAATAATACTATTCACAGGACCATCAGAATGACTCCAAATGAGGTAAATTCCTCGAATGAACAACATTTATTAGACACCGCATACAACAATTTAAAAGTTTTTCATAGACCAAAATTTAATATAAATGATGAGGTTAGAATAAGTAAATAAGTTAAGTTTTTTAATTATTAAATTGTTTTTTAAAAATAGCGGACTCGCGTCCGCGGCCTTTTTTATTTTGATGTTATTTTAAGACTAAATATAATTAATTTCTTAACTCTAAATTAAACCTAAGTCCGTACCGGGTCACGTTGCCTAAAGTTACCGCGTCAGCAGTTGATCGGACACGCGTGTGGAGTCGTCAACTTAATATCGCGGATGCAGCGTCAGCAATTGGTCGGTTTCGGTTCAAGTTACTGACCGATGGTGAGAATTGGCTGACCGTGTGAACTGCTGTGTTAACTCCTCCCCTCTTAAATATGATCGTCCTCGATCATCAATAGAAAGGTAAATCGGTAAATTTTATATGATTTGGAAAATTGTTATTTGCTACCGGCGGGAAAACTCCTTGACTAATATTTAACCTTTTTGTCTCTTATTCGATATTGGTTATTTTAATATTCTCTTCTTCGTACCAAGGTTAGTAGTATAATGGTGGTAATTAAAGCTACCGATGTCAGACTGCCAATAGATAATGTAGCTCACACATATCAAAATAATAAAGAGACCTGATGATGACCATTTGTATTTTAACCGAAAGGGATATTTTAGTATAAATGCGATGATAGTAAGTATAATCAATAAATTAATATTCAAACATATTTATAAACCTACATATATGTATTTCGTTTATCCAAAGATTTGTGACAACGATATGCAAATACGGGCCGTAGATGCACGGTATCCCGGTTCAAGTCACGATGCTTTCATCTGGGGTATGAGTCACGCTAAGCAATATTTCCGTACGCAATATGAGAGTGGACAGCGCTCATTGAGGTTGCTGGGCGATTGTGGCTACGGAATTGAACCGTTTTTATTAACACCATATAGAGATCCACAGTTTAACTCCAAGAAGTAAATTCAATATAGAACATACGGCTGCTCGGAATATTGTGAAACGAAGAGTTTTAAAAATCCGTTTCCGCTGTTTAATTTTCGCATTATCGCCCTGAAAAAGTTGTTAAAATTGTTAACGTCATTACACAACATCTACAAACGTTACAACATTGAACACAATCAAGAAGTTCTATTTCTTGCAAATGAAAGTAATGAGGACAATTTTTTTCCATCTGATAATGGTTTAATGCAAATCGAAGGCCGGAGAATAAGAGACGAAATAGCATATACTTTGTAATTCAATGTATTTTTTTTTTTTAATTATAACAGTCTTCATGACTAAACTAAAATCAGTCTTAATTTTTAAATTCAGGTACAACCAAGATCTTTGATTAAATTATATACTTAATAATTAATCTTTTTCTGCGTTGTTTTGTTTTTTGTATTCGAACTTAAGAAATTCTAGATCTAGTTGCTCTTTTTATACTCTCGCAACCTGTTGCTACAGAATATAATTGTTTTGTTCACCTAACGGTTGTTTGTATCACCTAAAACTAATCGAGTTAGATATAGGGTTATATATATATAAATGATCAGGATGAAGAGACGAGTTGAAATCCGGGTGACTGTCTGTCCGCCCGTCCGTCCGTCCGTGCAAGCTTTAACTTGAGTAAAAATTGAGATATCTTTATGAAACTTGGTAGACATGTTTCTTGGTACCGTGACACGGTTGGTATTGCAGATGGGCGTAATCGGACCACTGCCACGCCCACAAAACGCCATTAATCAAAAACAAGTAACTTGCCATAACTAAGCTCCGCAATAAGATACAAGACTGTTATTTGGTACACAGGATCATATTAGGGAGGGGCATCTGCAGTTAAAACTTCTCGCCTCTAATAGGTTTAATGTGCATATCTCCTAAACCGCTAATGCTATAATAACAAAATTCACTAGAAGCAAATGTTTTAGCACTTCTATTGACGTGTGTGAATAGTTGAAATCGTGGCAACTCCCCACTCCCCATATAACGGTACTGTTAAAAACTACTAAAAGCGCGATAAATCAAGCACTAAACACGCCAGAGACATTAAATTTTACCTCTGAGATGTATAAATTGGCTTTATAGAACCGCGTTCAAAATTAGTCAGTGGGTGTGCACAGTCCACTTTTAGGTGAAAACCCATATCTTGAGATCTGCTCAACTGATTTCAACCAAATTCGGTCCATAACGTTCTTTTCATGTTTCTATGTCATAGTGCGAAATCGGACTACAACCACGCCTATTTCCCATATAACACCTTTTTCAATTCCATCTGATTCTTTCACTTTCCACTATGCAAATCAGGTAACAATGATTATATCGGGGTAAAACTTTGCGTGAATAATGCAATTAAAGTATGCCACCTTACATCCGAACTTAGCCCTTCCTTACTTGTTAAAGTTATTTTTGTCCTTATCTTTCTTTGGTATCACAATTAGTTTAGCTGTTTTCCAGTTAGGTGGGAAGTAGGCATTGTTTAACATATTATTGAATAAAGTGCAATATTCTAGTATTAGTTCTGAGGAGAAGTTTTAGAATGATATTGGGTATTTGGTCTAAGCCGGATGATAGTTTACCTTTTAGTTAGAGAACACGTCTGTAAGGTGTATGAACTAACAAAAAGTTTTCCGTTTGGTCGTTCATTTAAATTATTGGCTATTTGTTGGAATTGAAGTTTGTTTTGGTCGCTCGAGTGCTATCGAATAAAGTTTCATTTCAGAAACTTTTTGAAGCATTCTTGTACCTGAAAGTGGACTGAATTGTTGGGTATACTTCTTTTGAAGCATGGACTGCTTCGAAATGAGTCCCGATTATTTGTTTTTGTTTTTGTTATTGATGACGTAGTTGTTTTTAACTAAGTCCTTTGTAGAAGCTCGCGGTCCAAACCCGCGTTTTGGATTATGTCGGAAGAGTTTAAGGGATGTTATATGAGTGATGTGATTATTATTATCTTTTAAAACGATTTTTAATAACGGAAAATTTTGAGGATCGTTAATCTTAAGGGTTGCAAGTCTTTGCTCGAGTTGGTATTAAAATGTTTCTTAAGATTGTCATCTATTAGTTTTTACAAGTTTCAGGTGTGCTTTTCTACTTGAAGTGTCGTGGTGGTAGATATAATTGAAGTCGATTGTTTTTTAATGCGCTGAAAGAATTTTACTTTTCTGCTAGCAGTTTTTTATAATAGGCAAGTTTATAAGAGTTTGAGTAGGGCTATTGATTTTTGCTTTTGTACATTATTTTCTATGGCTTTCAAGACAATATTATTTAAATGAAGCAAATGGTGATCAATCTCTGTGTTGCTCAAGTTTCTATCGTTTGGTACAAGGGATTTGTTTTGAAGTTGCGTGTAAGATCTTTTTAAATTTTGTCAGTTAGATTTTTGTAGTCAAGTGTGGTTTTTATTGGGTTCCTAAAAAAGTCGAAAAGCTTGTGTTGTCTCTGTTAATCGCAACGATTTGAATAGCGCATGATCCTATCTAATCAATGCATCTCAAGCAGTTAACTGTGTTGTTGGCTCTGTGAATATCATTCTGTGATCAGCAATGTAATATCAAGAAAGGAATTAGATCTTTCATAGACGGAGTAACCGAAGCATACATATTGCATCTGAACTTTAATTCGTTGGAGTCAGCCAGTTTTTAGGCTTTACCTTTAGAGTTGTTGTGTAGGTTACCCCAGGCTGTGTGTTTACTGTTGAGATCACCAGCTATTATGTAATAATGGGATTTTGTAGGTTTAAAGATTCGAAGATTGTTAGTTAAGATTTAAAAATGTCGTTATTATTACCTGACGGGTAATAGGCTGAATTATATACATGATGTTTATCGAGGCATATGAATTTTATTACACAAGATTCTAAATAGGATAAGGCATTGATGTGTTGGTTGAAAACTTCGTGTATTTTATATTTTCACTAATTAGAATTGCGGTTCCTCCTCCTCTCGATCCTAACAATCTATCTTTTCATTTAAATTATACCCTATAAATTTTAGGTTGTGTCTGTGTTAAGTTTAGTTTCGTTCAACAGAACCATATCGGCTTATATTTGATAAGAATTACTTAGCTCTATTCTCCTGCTTATATTAAAAGCGAGTTGACATTAAGTGAAATTATGTTTAACTGGGATTGGTAATAGTTAGAGTATGGTCTGAATTCATGCTGTATCTATTATATTGTAAATTGCATCAACCCTTGCCGTTTGTATTTCCAGCTGCTTCTGCAGAACTGTTAATAGTTTACTTAAAGATAACATTGTATTTTTAGTTCTTCGAATATTTGATTTTGAGAATTTTGGTTATTGGTCACAAATAAAACCAGTTGAATGTTTACAGACATTTGCATAACTTAAATAGAGTTAGTAAATTTTGGTTAGTGTTTATTTTCGTGGCTATTCGGTTTGTTTTTCAATATTATTTTTGTTGAAGCTCTTTATACCGCTCGCAGCCTTTTACGAAGCTGAATGCCAAATTTCTTGCATAAAACACAAAACACCTTATCATTTTCAGTTAGTTTGCGTCTAATGAGTTACAATCTTTGCTTTTATGTGTTCCGCTACATTTGACAACATCTTGCAGGTAGATTACAATTAGCTGCGCTGTGAAAAACTTTACAGTTTCAACATTGCGGAATTTCAGCTTTCGTAGTCCTATTTAATACAGTGGTATAAAACAGTATTAATTGCTTTTAATTCTTAACGTTACTTTCAGCACTTGTTTGAACAAAAACATAGGTAGTTTATATTGCGTTGCGTGGAAATTTTGTGGTAAATGATTAACTTTAAAATTTTAGGTTATCGTTTGATATGCAAAGTTCATTTAAAATTTCTTCGGGGTCGGTATTGCCCTTTAGCTCTTTCAATAGGTATGTTTTGGTTTTTAAACATTTACACGCCTATAGAATTTTACTTTTGTGTTTTCTAAGTACCCTCGGACTTTTTTGTAGTCTTCAATGTTGGTTAAAAAAATTGCTAATTTTGTTTTGATTATATTCTTTGATTTTAAATTGTGTTATGTTTAGACCGTCTTTTATTAGTTCTCTTATTCGTTTTGATTCGATGTCGAATGTGTTTATTGGAGGAATGTTTGTGCTGTTTATTTTTCGTTTGACGTTTGGGATCCAATTAACTTCACTAGTGTTGTTTCTATGCGAGACGCCAGCTGGAGTTATTGCTGCCGCTGCACTTGTTGATGGGTTGTTTTTTGTTGTATTACTAGTTTCATTTTGTTCATATTCGTTACTTAGATTATTGCAACGAACGTGTTGTTCGAATTTTTGTAGTGTTTCATTGCACTCTCTTTGATCGTCATCTAATATAGCGTAATAATTGTTTTGGTATTTTCGACATTGTGTGTTCAAACACGTTGTCGTTTTTCTTTTCTATTTAAGATTATCGTTGCACATTGTTTGCAGAACTAAGCGCATTGCGCTCACTCATTATAAAGGAACACCTTTACACTGATTATGGATCACTATTGGCACTTCAGGAAATTAAATGATTTTATGATCTTTATGGTGTCATTTGTTATCACTTTACACTCCGTAGTTGCGCGCTCGAGGGCAGCTATGTAGTCACATTGTGAAGGGTATTATAGTTTCGATGCAACCGAAGTTAACGTTTTTCTTGTCTTTGGTTTTTCAATAAAATATGAGTAAGTGGGTGAGTTATATCTAAATGGTGGCTTTATTATAAAAGTGATGGTTTATATTGCTGCAAATCTAGCAAACAAAATGAAAGTAGTTAAACAACGTCTCCAACTTAAGGTTAATAACGCTGACAATTATATAAATGTTAAAAATGTTACTAGACATTGTGCACTTTTACCAAATTCTATACGAGCGCTGATTGTAGGACCATCGAATTGTGGAAAACTAACGCTATGCTCAGTTTAATTAAAAGCCCAAACGGGCATAATTTCCGAAATATATATATTTATTCAAAATCATTACATCAGTTGAAATATAATATATCTATTTAAAAAGGCTTATTGATCCGATAAAAGAAATAAATCTTTATACATTTAATGAAAACATTGATGTTTTCAAGCCCACTGAAGCTAAAGTGGACTCAATTTTATATTCGAGGATGTAATATGTGGAAAACAAAGTACAGTACGAGACTATTTTGTATGGGTACGTCATAAAAACATTGATTCTTATTATTTATGTCAAGCTTATACAAAAATTTCTAAACACTTAATTCGTGATAATGCAAACATCATTATTGTGTTCACCCAATATGAAATGAATCTTAAGCATATCTATAATGAGCATGTTATTGGATAATGTTGTACATTTTAGAAATTTTACCAAGTCTGGTGAAATAAATACGGCT